TCTCTTTTCAATGGACTTAGTTTTGATTGTCTTAATTTTGTTGCTGTGTTTTAGATTTTGCATTTAATTCTACCGTTTTATGCTGCTTCTACAGGTAGTCCTCGGCTTACAACCATTCATTTAGTGACTGTTTGAAGTTACAGTGGGACTGAAAAAAGTGACCGATGACCATTTTTCACACTTAGGACTGTTGCAGCATCCCCAGGATCACATGATCAGAATTCGGATGCTTGGCAACTGGTTCGTATTTATGACAGTTGCAGTGTCCCGGGGTCACGTGATCACCTTTTGTGACCTCCTGACAAATAAAGTCAACGGGAAAGCCAGATTCACTTAACAACCATGTTACTAACTTAACAACTGCAGTGATTCACCTGTGGCAAGAAAGGTCATAAAATGAGGCAAAACTCACTTAAGAACTGTCTCACTTAGCAACAGAAATGTTGGGCTCAATTGCAGTCATAAGTTGAGGACTATTTGTATAAGTAGAAACACAGGGTATTCGTTAAAGAACAACAACAGCTTAATAGCCTTCCTTTCTCAGTTTCATTTTCCTGTTTAGAAATGCCTTTGGCACTTAAGGCTGAAATTCCTCCTTTAAAAAATTGCTGCCTTCTGTAATTACATATAATCCTTCTAGTTACACTGTCTTCTGTTCCCTTTTATTGCATTTTGTAATGTTTATGTTGTAATTGCTTTAGAACTGATTTATTGCTGGCTTTTCTTGTTGCCATTTCCATTGTGTAACTGTGTTTTTCTTGGGGTGGATGTAGAGCACTGTTTTTGCAAGCTGACTGACCTTGTTTGGGATTGGAAGCTTAAGTCGGGTCAGGTCTGGCTAGTATTCAGATGGGAGACTATCCGGAAAATACCAGGGCTATACATTAGGTGAGGGAGCTAAAAAAACATTGAAAGAAAGCAATGGCAATCCACTTTTTGTACTGTTGTGAGAAGAATCTACATGGATGCGTCCACTGTGGTAGCTGTGCCACACAGAGAGTGGGTGATAAGGACAGCTGAGAAGATTATTGGAAGCTCGCTTCCCATTATTCAGGACACTGTTTACAAGTGCTTATATGCTTAGAGCTCGGAGCATTGTTAGAGAGCCCATACACCCATTTCATGGTCTGTTTCTGTTGCTCCCCTCTAGGAGAAGGTTTCAAAGTATTTATAGCAGAGCTACTAGATTCTGTAACAGCTTTGTTCCTTATGCCATCCGTCTTGTAAATTCACAGGATTCTTTTTTTTTTTGCCATGTGTATGTATATAGTCAAACTAGATTGTGATGTTTCTCTTTGTCATTGTGTGTGTGTGTGTGTGTGTGTGTATGTTGGTAAATGCATAATGGTATTTTTTGAGAGCTGAATTTATTTTAATGTATGCTTAATGTACATTTAAAATGACAATAAAGATTCTATTCTATTCTATTCTACTCTACTCTACTCTATTCTACTCTAGAATAGAATAGAATAGAATAGAATAGAATAGAATAGAATAGAATAGAATAGAATAGAATAGAATAGAATAGAATAGATGGAAGGGACCTTGTAAGTCATCTAGTCCAACCCCCCACCCAAGCAGGAGACCCTACATCATTTCTGACAGATGGCAGTCCAGTATCTTCTTGAAAGCTTCCAGTGTTGAAGCTCCCACAACTTCTGAAGGCAACTTCTGTTCCATTGGTTGATTATTTTCACTGTCAGAAAATTTCTCCTTATTTCTAGGTTAAATCTCTCCTTGATCAGTTTCCATCCGTTATTCCTTGCCGGGCCTTCAGGTGCTTTGGAAAATAGGTTGACCCCCTCCTCTCTGTGACAGCCCTTCAAATAGATTCCAGGGTCTTCATAGCCACTGGTTTTCATAGCCACTGATTAGATTTTTAAGTGAAAAATGTAAAACTTTATATCAGCTATATTTGGAGTGGTCATTTCAAGATGACATTCATTTCTTGCATTTTTTTCTCTCTCTCTTTCTCTCCACCCCCACCCCCCCAGTCTGCAGAATTCTTTGAAATGCTTGAAAAAATGCAGGTAAGTGAAACAGCATATGTCTTCTAACTCAGCAGTCCCCAACCTTTTTAGCTTGGTGGGGGGGGGGGCGCGTGAGTGGCAGATATGTGTGTGTGCACAGCTCCATTTGAGGGAGCAGCGGTTGCATGCGTCCTCCACTCGTGCGAATGGAGCTTCGCACATGAATGAAGGGTGCTTGGGTTCACGTATGAGGTTCCATTTGTGCAAGTGGAGGGTGCTTGAGTGGAGGGCACTTGTGCATGCACGTGAAGTTCCACTTCATGCAAACGAAGCTTTGTGTGCAAGTGCAAGCACCCTCCGCTTGTGCAAGTGGAGGTTCGTGCGAGGGCGTGCATGCCTGTCCACTGTTCACAGGAGTGGAGCTTCACGCGCATGCACTTGCCCATTTCTCCTGCAGCCCAGTTTTGAACAGGCTGTGGCCCAGTAATGGGCTGCCGCCCGGGGATTGAGTACCCCTGTTCTAACTAGATTCTTGCTCTTTCACTGAGAAGGGGAATTAGATGTTTTGGAGGGTTGAGGCAATCAACATGTGTATTCTTGAGAGCTGATTACTGCCTCAAAAACAGCACGCCTTAAATATCCACTATTGGTTGGGCAGGTGACAGCAGAGCAAAGCAAGCACTCAGCTTCACTCTATTGCTGGTGTACTTTATTCCTTTCTTCCTCCACCCTCCCATTCCAACACTGTTCAGTGAAGAGCCTCAGATGTGTTAAGCTTTGTCAACGGGAGAAAATAGCATATAAATGTTGTTTGGAGTTTTGCTTTAATAATGTCTTGTGCTTCTGCAAGACTTAAGATGGCTTAGGGTTAGTTTGTTTGAAGGACTGTCTTTTCCCCGTCTCATTTACCTGACCAGGAACACGGTGGCTTGCATGGTTAGGAATGCTGGGTAGGAGGTTAGCAAGCCTCCGTTCGAGACCCATGTGCTGAGGCAGGGTTGAGCTCCCGTCCTTTGCTCTAGCTCAGTGGTTCTCAACCTTTTTAATGCCACGACCCCCAACTGGTTGTAAGTCGAGGACTAAACCGGTTGTAAGTCGAGGACTAAACCGGTTGTAAGTCGAGGACTAAACTGGTCGTAAGTTGAGGACTTTCCCTGCCCGGGAGCACCGTGCATGCGTGGTTCTGCCCCCTGCGCCGGCCGAGGCGTAGCTGGCAAGTGGCAGAGACGGAGCAGGCCGACCACCAGCTGGCCCAGCTCAAGGGAGGTAAGGCACCCGCCGGAAAAGGGAAAAAAAATGGCGGACAGCCTTGCTTGGCAACCCCCGTGAAATGGTCGATCGACCCCAAATGGGGTCGCGACCCATAGGTTGAGAACCGCTGCTCTAGCTCCTGCTGGGGAGTTGCTTGACCATCTCTCCCATGACCGGGGACATGAAACTTGGTGTCCCCCCGAGCAACAGTGATGTCACTGGCTAATCATTTCCACCTGGAAGCACCTTGGTGCTTCTGACACTAATGCTATGCTATGCTATCTACCTGGCCTACCAGAATGACGGGGGCAGGGTATGTTATGGGTTCCCTCATCTAGCTAGCGGGACCAAAAAGAAGGGCCTTCTCTCTGGTGGCTCCCTCTCTATGTAACATCCTTATGGAAATAAGATTAGCCCCCCTACTTTGACACCCTGAAGATATGGGTTTGCCAACAGGCTTGGGGACCCCAGGGTGATACAAAACTTATCAAGTGCTTGATTTGATTATTGTTGCTATGGGGGAGATGTTTATTGGGTTTTAGTTTGGGGTTTTATTTCTGTAAATCACCTGGAATCACCATAAGTGACTTGGGTGGCCATATAAACTTTGTCACTAAATAAATGAGATAATTATTCAGCTTCTTAAACCCTTCCCCTGCTGAAAAATTCTCAGTTTTGTGGCCCTGCCACCTCTTCAGAGGAATCTTCATGAGTATGCCACTTTAAGAGAAGCAGTGATTGTATGATATGTTCTACTGTGTCATTTCTGATAAAAATGAAAAGATGGCTGTTTCCATTCATTAAGGATATTCTTAGTAGTAAATAAAAATAAAAAAGAAGAGTGCTGTCATCAACTAAAGCTTCACAACATTTGAAACCCACGGTATTTAACTTTCCTTCCCCTGAATAGCTTCATATTGTTAAGTGTTAGCTTTGGTTTGTATTAACGGGACTGGTTTTAAATGCATTTAAAAGGGTTCTGGAATTATTTTCTGAACTCATTAGATTAAATGACAATTGTTATGCCATATTCATGGGGCAAGATAGCCTTGAAAGTTGAAATGCTGTTAAATAGATAAGCAAATAAACCTTTCTCACTAGATCAGTGTTTTCTAACCTTGTTCAGTGGAACAAGTAGTGGACCAGTAGTGGACCAGTAGCCCACAGGTTGGGAATCCCTGCCCTAGAAAGAGTGAGAAATAGACTTCTATGGTGAGACCAAATCTAAGCAGATGCTTTGTAGGTATTCTGAGTTTTTTGTCTTTTAACTGAGGTCTTTAACTACTTTTTCTTCATCCAAACAGGGTCCAAAATCAGAAGAACAGAAGGGTGGAGGCCAAAAAAACAAGGTCAGAGTTATTGCAAAGCTTTTTTAACTACCCCACAATCTTTCTGGAGGAGGAAAGTTGCAGAGCAGAATACAGGATTGCAGACAGGATCCAAGGATTCCAAATTTTGGATGAGGGATGGGAAACTCATCAAATTTGCAGACAACACCAAGCTGGCAGGAATAGCCAATACTCCAGAAGACAGGCTTAGGATACAGGAGGATCTGGACAGATTTGAACACTGGGTGCTAGTTAACAAAATGAAATTCAGTGGCAAAAAAAGTAAAGTTCTACATTTAGGCAAGAAAAACCAAATGTACAGGTATATATAGGTGGTACCTGGCTCAATAGTAGTAACTGTGAGAGGGATCTCGGAGTTCTAGTGGACAGTCACTTAAATAGGAGCCAGCTGTGTGCTGCAGCTGCCAAAAAAGCCAACACAGTGCTAGGCTGCATTAACAGAGGGATAGAATCAAGATCATGTGAAGTATTAATACCACTTTACAATGCCTTGGTAAGGCCACAATTGGAATACTGCATCCAGTTTTGGTCACCACGATGTAAAAAAGATGTTGAAACTCTAGAAAGAATACAGAGAAGAGCAACAAAGATGATTAGGGGACTGGAGGCTAAAACATATAAGGAACGGTTGCTGGAATTGGGTATGTCTAGTTTAATGAAGAGAAGGATGAGGGGTGATAAGATAGCAGTGTTCCAATATTTCAGTGGCTGACACAAAGAAGAGGGAGTCAAGCTATTCTCTAAAGCACCTAAAAGCAGGACAAGAAGCAACGGAAACTGATCAAAGAGAGAAGCAACCTAGAACTAAGGAGAAATTTCCTGACAGAACAATTAACCAGTGGAACAACCTGCCTCCAGAAGCTGTGAGTGCTCCAGTCCCCTGCTCAGGCAGAAAACCTATACCATTTCAGACAAATGGCTGTCCAGTCTCTTCTTAAAAACTTCCAGTGTTGGAGCATTCACTGCTTCTGGAGGCAGGTTGTTCCACTGGTTAATTGTTCTAACTGTCAGGAAGTTTCTCCTCAGTTCTAGGTTGCTTCTCTCCTTGGTTAGTTTCCATCTGTTGCTTCTTGTCCTGCCTTCAGGTGCTTTGGAGAGTAGCTTGACTCCCTCTTCTTTTTGGCAGCCCCTGAGTCCTCGACCATTTGTTTAGCAATTGTTCAAAATGATGATGGTACTGAAAAAAGTGAATGATGGCCAGTCCTCACACTTATGACTGCAGCATCCCCATAATCACGTGATCAAAATTTGTGCGCTTAGCACCAGGTGTGTTTATGATGGTTGCGGTGTCCTGGGGGGGTGTCATGTGATTGCCGTTTGAGACCTTCTAGCGGGCTTCCACCAAGCAAAGTCAATGTGGGAAGCCAGATTCACTAAACAACTGTTTCACTTAAGAACTGCAATGATTTGCTTAACAATCATGGCAAACAAGGTGGTAAACTTTCGGGCACAACTCAGTTAACTGCCACCTTGCTTAGCAATGGAAATTCAGCCTCAGTGGTGATCACAAATTGAGGACTGTATCAAAACTGGGGCTTGGACTGAAATACCAGTGATAAATTAAAGAACTAGACCTCTAATCCAGCTTTGTTCCATGAGCCTATATATTTTTCCCCCTTTTTAAATAATAATAATAATAATAATAATAATGATAATAATAATAATGATGATAAAGTTGGAAGGGACCTCGGAGGTCATCTAGTCCAACCTCCTGCTCAGGCAGAAAACCTATACCATTTCAGACAAATGGCTGTCCAGTCTTTTCTTAAAAACTTCCAGTGTTGGCGCATTCACCACTTCTGGAGGCAGGTTGTTCCATTGGTTAATTGTTCTCACTGTCAGGAAATTTCTCCTTAGTTCTAGGTTGCTTCTCTCTTTGGTTAGTTTCCACCCGTTGCTTCTTGCCCTGCCTTCAGGTGCTTTGGAGAATAGCTTGACTTCCTCTTCTTTGTGGCAGCCCCTGAGATATTGGAACACTGCTATCATGTCCCCCCTCGTCCTTCTCTTCGTTAAACTAGACATACCCAATTCCAGCAACCGTTCCTTATATGTTTTAGCCTCCAGTCCCCTAATCATCTTTGTTGCTCTTCTCTGTACTCTTTCTAGAGTCTCAACATCTTTTTTACATTGTGGTGACCCAAACTGGATACAGTATTCCAAGTGTGGCCTTACTAAGGCATTGTAAAGTGGTATTAATACTTCACGTGATCTTGATTCCATCCCTCTGTTAATGCAGCCTAGCACTGTGTTGGCCTTTTTGGCAGCTGCAGCACACTGCTTTATTTCCTTTATATATTGGGTTGGCTCTCCAGCATGCATGTAGGAGACCTAACACCAACTCTGCCTTGAGTTCAAATTGCTAGGAGGTTTGGAAAGATAGGGAAAAAAAGGGAATAGTATGTGGAAAACCCAGAGAGAACAAAAAAAAAAAAAAAAGAGGAACAGAAGCAATTGAACAAAAAGAGAAAGAGGAAGGAAGGAAGGAAGCTATCAAGCATGTGCTAATTTCACTTTCAAAGAAATTGAATTTTTCAAAAGCAACATGAGTTATATTTCTAAAAGAAACAAAGCTGCTTGTATTACCTTAAATGGTGTTTGAAATAGAACTGAGGGTGACATTTTCTTCTGTGTGTTTTTTTAATATCTTCCAGGAGGACTATATCCCCTATTCCAGCATTGATGAGGTATGTATTCAAGGGGGGGGAGCCATTAGAAAGATTACTAAAAGAAAGCTATTGAAAAGTTTAAAGCCAAGCTGGTGAGCTATTTTCATTCTGAAGTCACCTTTAAATGGGGATCAAAAATCTCAAGGTAACAACCTTGCAATTGAAAAGCCACACCTTTTCTACGTGTGCTGCTTTTTAAAAAATATGGCACATTTGGAGCTACTCTCGTGCCTTTTTTAAAAAAAATCCCTCCCCACCCCAGCTCCTGATGCTTCTGCTGCTCTACTACATATAAATTGGTTTTGTATAAATTGGAAAATGCCTTCAGCTGAAAAAGCTACAGGCGTCTGAATGCTAAAAATAAACATTAAAGAATGTTAAGAATGCTTTAAAGAAGTGAGGCAACTATTGGAAATGAAGGTAAATATAAGTGTCCCAAGAGAATGTTGCAAGATCCAGTCTGAGTCGGTCACCCGGATCAAAGGTTTATTCTTCCAAGCTTTTGAGCTGGTGCTGGAGCCCATCATCAGGAAACTTCACTCTCCAAAATATGTGTACTGGGCTGTTCTACACTTTGTATTTATATGGTTCCTGGTTGTGTGAGCATTTAGTTGGTAATTAGGGAGTTGATGGCTGGTTTTAAGTCATTAGTTATTGCTTCCTTTGTCTACTGCACATCAGCTCCTAAGCAGGTAATAGACAGGTGGGTGGGTACTTAGGAATGAGGATATGGCAGAAGAAAAAAAACAACAATTACTGTGTTTCCCCCAAAATAAGACCAGATTTTATATTAATTTTTGCTCCAAAAGACACATTAGGTCTTATTTTCAGGGAAATACAGTGCTAAATGGGTCCATCTGGCTGACTATCTGAACTGGGGCTTATTTTTGGGGTGGGGCTTATATTATGAGTGTCCTGAAAAATCATGCTAGGGCTTATTTTTCTTTTGGGTCTTATTTTTGGGAAAACACAGTAATAATAATAATAGCCAGCCATCAACATTCTAATTAACAACTAAAAGTTACATACAACCAGGAACCATATACTATAAATATAACCTGTAGAAAAGCTCAGTGCACATATTCTGGAGAGAGAGAGGGAGAGGGAGAAGGAGGGAGAGAGAGGGAGAGAGAGAGAGAGGGAGAGAGAGAGAGAGAGANAACCTGGCCACGCCCTCATCAAACCCTAGGACCGCCCCTTTAGAGAACAGGAATGCAAGTAAAATTTGGGAGGGGCTATTTCCGGTGTGGGAGGGGCTATTTCCGGTGCGGCCGGCCCGGAAAAAGGTGCCGGAACGCGGTTCCGCCGCGTTCCGGCTGAAAAAAAGCCCTGGACCTATACCCTTACATATAAGTAACATATAAATATTAATCGCTGTCCATCTTGAATACATAACGGAAGGAGGAAGCTTTAGAATTCACAAGGTTAATACTGTATGGAACAAAACTGTGACTGAATCTGGATGTTCTGCTTCGGATACCACAGAGCCCCCTCCTCCCAGAAGGTAACAAGGAAAATAGGTTGTGAAGAGGTGTAGTGTCCCAGACAATCTTGCGGACCCTCCTCAAGCCTGCTCAATCTTGGTTGCAAAGGTGTTCTAGATGGGGGGACAGTCAAACAGCAAAGCACAGAACAGGAAGTCGGATCAACCAATCAGCAAGCAGGACGCACACCTCTGCACAACACGCATTTGGGATTTGGGTGGTGTATGCATTGGCCTGCCTGCGGCCATCTACAACCTACACTTACCCATCAATGTAGGTAATCAGCTAATGATTAAAATCTCATTTATGATAGTTACCAAGATTTGTTTAGTACAGAAGAATAGAGATAGTTCTCAACTTATGACCACAACTAAGCCTAGAATTCCTGTTGCTAAGTGAGACGTTTGCTAAGTGAGTTTTGCCCCATTCTATGACCTTCCTTGCCATATTTGTTAAGTGAGTCGCTGCAGTTGTTAAGTTAGTAACGTGGTTGTTAAGTGAATCTGGCTTCCCAGATTCTTGTCAGAAGGTCGCAAAAGGGGATCACATGATCCCAGGACACTGCAACAGTCATAAATATGGGTCAGTTGCCAAGCATCCGAATTTTGATCGTGTGACCAAGCTGCAACAGTTGTAATTGTGAAAACTGCTCATAAGTTGCTTTTTTTTTGTAACTTTGAACAGTCACTAAATGAACTGTTGTAAGTCAAGGACTACCTGTAGTTCAGTCTTGTCCAGAATCTGATTAAATCAGCCTTTACCTCTTAAGAAATTTACAAAGAAGGTAGTGTTAGTATTCATGATTTTGGCACTTTGTCTGGACCAGCTTGAAGGGCTGACATTACTGAATATTCAAAAAACACCCACCTTCCAGATTCTGGATAAATCTGAACTATTCTCTTGTACTAAAAAAACTTGGTAACCATCATAATAGCAATAGCACTTAGACTTATATACTGCTTATAATGCTTTATAGCCCTCTCTGAGTGGTTTACAGAGTCAGCATCATGCCCCTAACAATTTGGCTCCTCATTTTACCAACCTCAAAAAGATGGAAGGTTGAGTCAACCTTGAGCCGGTCAGGATCGAACTCCCGGCTATGGGCAGAGTTACCCTGCAATACTGCATTCTAACCACTGCATTACCAGGGCTCTCAAATTTTAATCATTAACTGTTAATTTGTAGGCGGCCCTGTTCCCTATACCTTAAGTGTATATTGGAAAGACAGAAAAGATGCTTATAGTGGAGGAGTAGACAAGCTCTCCCAGAAGGAG